AGGTGTCTGAGAAGCTGATAGCCTTGGGGATCCTGCACCTTGGACTTTTCACTGTCTGCAGCCTGAGGATAGGAACCATGACTTAGCAGGCCTGACTCAGAGGAAATGCTCAACAAATGCTTCCCACTGACAAGATTGACAGAAGTGAATCCCTCTGTGGCAGGAAGCATGCCTTGATCATCAATCTTCCTTAAAGTGCCCATCACAGAACAGACACATAGTTAATAGGACAGCAGGAAGGTGAGGAGGTAATGCTATTGGGGCTTGGGCTTGGTGCTGACCTTTGAAGCGGTCTTGTGAACTCCACAAAGTGATCAGGCTCCTTCACAACCAAGGTTTGGGGCCTGACTCAGGCTCTGTCATGACATCCTTCAGGCTTAGAACATATACAAGTATGTCGGAGGGACTCTGGGGTTGATGGAGAGGTTTTTCCCTCCCCAGTCTAAACTCTGAGTACTGTTCTTGGGAGCCCCCAGCCTTCCTCCTGAGTCCACACACAGACTCAAATTCCCCTGCAGAATTCCCATCCCAGAGGTATATTTGGACCTTGATGCAAATAAAACTCGATTCTGATAGCATTCTCTCAATCAATAGTTAATTACTATTATATGACAAGATGCATTATGTAAATGTAAACAACATTGTCTCTTACTACTTAATTCTAGTTTCCCTAGAATGGAACTTTGTTTTCAAAAGTAAAAGAACATAAGGGATGCCTGGGTGGCTCAGTGGTTGAGCGACTGCCTTTGGCTCAGGGCATGATCTTGGAGTTCTGGGATCGAGTCCCACAGGCTCCCTGCATGGAGCCTGCTTCTCCCTCTGCCTAAGTTTCTGCCTTTCTCCTTCTGTGTTTCTCATGAATAAATAAAATCTTTTTTTTTTTTTTTTTAAAAGGGACGCCTGGGTGGCTCAGCGGTTGGGCATCTGCCTTTGGCTCAGGGTGTGATCCTGGAGTCCTGGGGTCAAGTCCCACATCAGGCTTCCTACATGGAGCCTGGTTCTCCCTCTGCCTGTCTCTGCCTCTCTCTCTCTCTCTCTCTCTCTCTCTCTCTCTCTCTGTGTGTGTGTGTGTCTCATGAATAAATAAAATCTTAAAAAAAAAAAAAGAACATAAGAACCACCCACCCAGAAACCTTGTGAAAGAAGCAGGTTTCTGACCGCTGAACCCAGTAAAGAGTCAGTTTTGGAAGGGGCCCAAAAGTCTATTGTCAAGAACATTCCCTGGCAATCCCTCTACACTCAAGTCTGAGAACCCGTGTTCTCTGATGTTACTCAGGCCCCATTGAGCTGTGGTGCCAAACTTTTTTTTTTTTTTTTAAAGGTAGGCTCCATACCTAGCATGGAGCCCAGCAACAAAAGGCTTGAACTCATGACCCTAAGATCAAGACCTGAACTGAGATCAAGAGTCAGACACCTAATCAACTGAGCCACCCAGGCACCTCCAAACTTTTTCTGACTACAAACCACAGTATAATATTTTATACTGTGACCCAGAACACACTTAAAATTACCTAAAGCAGGGGCATCTGGGTAGTTCAGTCAGTTAAGTGGCTGACTCTTGATCTTAGCTCAGGTCATGATCTCATGAGGTCCTGGGATCGAGCACTGCATTGGGCTCTGTGCTCAGGGAGGAGTTGGTTTGAGGATTCTCTCTTCCTCTCCTTTTGCCCCTCCCCCCACTCGTGCTCATGTGCTCTTGCTCTCTAAAATAAATCTTTTTAAAAATTATTTATTTGACAGAGAGAGAGAGAACACGAGCAGGAGGATGAGAAAGAAGCAGACTCCCTGTTGAGCAGGGAGTCCAATGTGGGGCTTGACCTCAGGACCCTGGGATCATGACCGGAGCCAAAGGCAGATGCTTAGCCAACTGAGCTACCCAAGCACCCCTAAAATAAATCTTTTTATTATTTTTATTATTTTTTATTTTTTTAAGCTTATACTCATTTATTCATGAGACACACAGAGAGAGAGAGGCAGAGACATAGGCAGGGAGGGAGAAGCAGGCTCCATGCAGGGAGCCCGACGTGGGACTCGATCCCGAGTCTCCAGGATCACACCCCAGGCTTGAAGGCAGCGCCAAACCGCTGAGCTACCCGGGCTGCCCCCTAAAATAAATCTTTTAAAAAATTAGGATGCAGGCAGCCCTGGTGGCTCAGTGGTTTAGCGCCGCCTGCAGCCTATGGTGTGATCCTGGAGACCCTGGATCGAGTCCCACGTCAGGTTCTCTACATGGTGCCTGCTTCTCCTTCTAAGGCCTGTGTCTCTGCCTCTCTGTATGTGTGTGTGTGTCTCTATGAATAAATGAATAAAATTAAAAAAAATTAAAAATTAGGATGCTTATTATTATTTTAATTTATTTGAGAGAAAGAGCAGGGGGAGGGGCAGAGGAGAGGGAGAAAGAGCCGTTTTTTTTGAAAGACACTTTTTAAAAAAAGATTTTTAAAATTTATTTATTCATGAGAGAGAGAAAGGCAGAGACACAGGCAGAGGGAGAAGCAGGCCCCATGCAGGGAGCCCGACATGGGACTTAATCCTGGGCTGCCCAAGAGAGAGACTTTTAAGGAGACTCTGCACTAAACTCAGAGCCAGATGTGGGGCTGATCTCACAACCCTGAGATCATGACCTGAGCCAAAACCAAGAATCAGACACCTAACTGACGTTACCTAGGTGCTCCTAGATCTTCAAGTGTGGTCCCCAGAACAGCAGTATCACCTGGAAACTTGTTGGAAAGGTAGTCTCAGGCCCTGCCTTAGACCTACCAAATAAGAAACCTGGGTGTGTGCCAGTTCTTTGTTTTAAGCCCTCTAGATGATTCTGATGGCTCCCCAGATTTGAGACACACTGCTCTATAATAACCAGCGAACTAAACTGATTTCTTGGCTCGCCAAGGGGTCTTAACCTGCAGCTTGACAAACACTATCCTAAAGGAAGACTCAGATGAGAGATTAGAAATTAGTACTGGGGAAACTTGCCTTTCCTGCAGAACTGACAAATCTCTTCCTTTCTTGATAATGAGAGCAGCATTCTGATCTATCTGCTTTTGGGTTTGGCTATGGGGAAGCTCAGAATCAAATCTAACCTTAATCCCAGCAATCCTGTGGATGTTTATGGATTTTTATTTTCCTTTTTAAGATTTTTTTTATTTGAGAGAGAGAGAGAGCACATGCACAAGCAGGCAAAGGGGCAGAGGGAGAGGGAGAAAACAGTCACTGCTGAGCAGGGAGCCCAATGTGGGACTAATCACAGGACCCTGGGATCATGACCTGAGCCAAAGGCAGCAGCTTTTTTTTTTCTTTCTTTCTTTTATTTTAAAGATTTTACTTATCCATTCATGAGAGACACACAGAGAGAGGCAGAGACATAGGCAGAGGGAGAAGCAGGCTCCATGCAGGGAGCCTGAAGCAGGACTCGATCCCAGGACTCCAGGATCATGCCCTGAGCCAAAGGCAGATGCTCAACCACTGAGCCACCCAGGCGTCCCACAAAGGAGCCCAGTGTGGGACTCTATCCCGCAGATAGAGGCAGATGCTCAACCGCTGAGCCACCCAGGCGTCCCACCCAGGAAGCCCAGTGTGGGACTCTATCCCGGGTCTCTAGGATCACACCCTAGGCCTAAGGCAGCGCTAAATCGCTGAACCACCTAGGCTGCCCATGTATATGTACCCTCTTAGGAAATGGGCAGTAAGTGCTGGTCACTTGGCCATGTGGTTTGTAACTGAACCAGGCCAGAGAAGGGGTGGGGATGGGGCAGCTGAGCACAGAGCACTTCCTGTGGCTTCTCAAGCTCACTGGGGCCTGGTTTGCAGCACTTTTGCCCCAGTCAGCTCCACTGCTGTGGTTTCCTGTTTGCAGCTGCTGCACTCAGGCCAGCCCCCAGCCCCCAGGCCCAACCTACCTTTGGGTGTGTGTGGGGGAGATGCTAATGTTGCCTGGAAAGTAGCAGGGGGTGCTGGGGAGAGGTCAATCCAGAGAACTTCTGAAGGAAGGGAAGGAGAGGCAAAGATGTGCTGGAGGAGGACCCAGGAGGGAGCCTGAGAGTAAAGGACCCTGACAACCCACCATGATTGGTGAAAATTAGGGCAAGCACAGGCCTGTCCACATTCGTTAAGTATCTCCCCCTTAGTCTGCCACTGTGTTTGGAATTCCACCATTATTGTGACATGTGGGCCCTTCCTGGGTGTCTGAAGTGAGGAAGACCTTGGCTGGGTTTGAATCCCAGCTTCACACTTAGCTAGGTCTCCCCAGGCAAATCATTTCTTCTCTCTCAGCCCAGGTTCCTTATCTGTGAAATGGGGACAGTGGAAGTACAATCCCCAAAGGGTTGCCTGAAGATACTTAAACGGCCTACCATAAATGTCAGTGCCACCACTCTTTCAACGTCCTTCTCTGCCCCCACTCTAAGGGTCTCAGGGCAGCAGCTCAGAGGGAGGCAGGGGAAGCAGACACAGAGTCTACCAACTTTGTGTTTTGTTTGCAAAAGCCCTGTACCTGAAGTGGGAGAAGTCCCCTATGAATGTGCAATGTGACATGTCCCTACCCCCCTTCAAGCCTTTGTTTCTCCATCTTCCCCCTTCTGTACAGTAGAAAGAAGAAGATCAAGAGCTGACTTCTAAAGAGTTTTCTCTTTTTGACTGGTTGGTGACCCAAAGCACAGAGACCTTGTGAACTTGACAACCATTTGTCAAGATTCAGGACTGTGTTGTGTTTTGGGGAGGGAGGAATCATTGCTGGTCAGGGCAGGCAAATCTTGTGACTATACTCTATTACAAGACCCAGTTGCTAAAGTGTAGGCTGAGCCTGGATCCCCACTATGGGCCATTCACACCCACTTTTAGAAATGGGCTTCCAGGGCAGCAACATGGTGGTCAGTCAGCCAGACTGCCTGGCTCCAAGGCTACATACACCAGCCCTTCACATTTGACTTCCCACTTATACCCCTAAGTCACCTTGCACTTGGTTCTTGGCATTCAAGGGACAAGCCACGGCTGAGCTTACCCACCTGTCCTGGTCTGGCTCTCCCGAATGAGGAAGGCCCCTCCAGGGTTTCCAGGCAGCAACAGCAGTTCTTCAGCTTTCTCCCGGCTCAGGCCTTCATACAGCCACCTGGAGGAAGGACAGAGAGAGGTCAGCCTGGGCATGGGTGGGCCAACACTCTACTCAAACCCCTCCTCTCTCTCTGGGCCTCAGAGTTCCATCTGTACCTTGGTCTCCAAGGGACCCCCAGCTTTGTCTTGGTCCTAGCTCCAGAGGCCTTGGAGGACAACCTCATGGGATCAGCCCCATCCTTTTCTGCCTGGAGACCTCATTCCGAAGTGGCCAGGAGGCTGGAGGAAGGTGGGGTGATCGCAGATTCTCTCCTATCACCGCCCAGCTCCTCTACTATCCCTATGCTAGCCACTCATCTTTCCAAGAATTGCCTGAGTCTGTGTTTGTAATTTTAGTAAATATTTTATTTGAACATTTAAAGTTTAATTTTACAGCCAAAAGGTATGCAAGTGAATATGTATTCATTATCAATGAAATCTCTCATTGGAGCTTATTTGTGGGTAGAAATGTTGGAACTAGAATGCTCAACATTATAAAATCTTTTTTTTTTAAGATTTTATTTATTAATTCATGAGAGACACACACAGAGAGAAGCAGAGACACAGGCAGAGAGAGAAGCAGGTTCCATGCTGGGAGCCCGATGTGGGACTCGATCCTGGGACTCCAGGATCATGCCCTGGGCCGAAGGCAGGTGCTCAACCGCTGAGCCACCCAGATGTCCCAAGACATTATAAAATCTTGGAAAAAATCATGCAAGATATCAATCACCATATGTACTCCCAAATTACAGATCTTTATGAGCTTCTCCTTGGGGCCCCTTTTACTGCTGGATTGTTGATTAGTCTGGCCCCCTATTTTCTTTCTCTTTTCACATAATCCTTCACCTATGTCCTTGAAGGACTTAACTGTAATATACAGAGTTCAAGGTATCTTTGCAGGAATTTTTTGGCTTACTAGTCCAATAGCCTTTTAATATTCCCAGAATCATGCCCTGTGATTCCCTGGGAAAAACTACAGAAGCCAACTTGATGGAAATGGCCACCTCCCTGTCATTGTGTGAAATTCCACAGTCAAAGCCAGAGTCAGGGATGAGTCCATTCTAAGGAAATAAATCAGAGAAGCCTGGTGCCAGCAGCAAATGTAGCCTAGTTTTATAGTAAATAAAACAAATCATTCATAGGACTTACAAACACAGAGGATGGAGACGGAGTGGCAAGGGAAGGGGACTCTTGGACGTGGCCAGTGTCTCCTTGACTGAAACTTCAGTGCCACACTGGGGATGCAAAACCTCTGGCCAGCAGGGCCAAGCCAGCAGGAAATGGAAGATGGGCTCCACTCAGGTGCCAACGACCTCTACACAAGCTGAATCTGTGAGGTGTCCACATATCTCAGCATCCCTGTGCTACTTTTATCAGAGCCAGACATCCTGTGAGTCTCAGAAAAGGAAGGCCATCCAGTGCCAGAGCAGTACTTGCTCACAGAAGAGTAGTTGTCATAGCACACACAGCATACTTGCCTGACTCCATGTTATGCAGGTTGATCCCACTGAAAGGCAGTTCCTTTCCTTTCTCTCTCATAACAGAGAATTTGTTCTGGAGTTGATTTCTTTTGTCACTCACTTGCGGCAAGTAATGGCTCACACTGTGTAAGATTCCTTGTGTCCTGCCCACTGTGAGGCATCTTTTAGAAGGGCAGGCTTGCCAAGATATGGGACACCATCCCTCTGTTTTCTTGCCTCAGGACATTTAGGACATGTATGCAGGCTGCTCCCTTTCAGCATTTCTCCTCCATTGAACTCCCAGCCGCCCTTCAAAGCCCAGAGGACATCTCTATGATGTCCTTTCTGAGCTCCCTCCTCTGGGCTCCCAGGTCTCACAGGCCAACCTGTTTGCTTTTCTTGAAGACAGGGCCTGGACTTGATTCTCCCCTGTCCCCAGTTTTGCTCAGCACAGGACTGGCCAAAAAGGACCATGTTTGGGGAAAGGGAAAGTAGGAAGTTCCCCCTAAGGCAGGGCTGGGGTTGTGAACTCACCCATGGGAGATTTTGGCCACGTGGCTGCTGGGGATGCTGTATTCTGTGCCTGAAACTTCTGATATCACTGTCCACCAGTCTCCATCTCTGGAGAGGGAAAGGAGAGGGGAATTGCTCATTTAGGATTCCTGAGGACCTGCCAAGCTGGCCCTCTTCCCAGGGTTCCTTGCACCAGGGAAAGACAGGCAGTACCACTAGTGCTGGTACCTCCTATGCAGGAAATGGCACGATTCAGGGCCCCCTACAAGGCCCTGCCCATCTATAGCTTCTCCCTACAGGTGTGTCAGTCTTCCTTAATCCCACCATTAGGGCTACATGTTGCTCAGCACCAAATTCCCTGCTCTTCTCTCTTGGAGGGAGAGGCCCTTCTCCCATGAGTGAATCTTCAGGTGCCAGGGGGAAGGAAGCCCCCACCATTCCCCTCATTAGGATAGAACTTACTCAGAGGTGATGGTCAATGGATCCCCCAGTCTCAGTGATGGCTCTGTGTGCTCGCCTACTGGGAAACTGCTCAGGGCCACGGCTGTGGCCCTGCTTCTCTCTGGATGGAGGGACAGAGATGGTCATCCTCTTGGTCAGTCTTCCCTCCTCATTTGAAGTCTACTGGAGTTTGGGCTTCCACCATCAACCCTGCCATGAGCACCCTGGGGAGCATGTCTGCTGAGATCCCAGGAGGTCTACCCTGGAATCTGAAGCTTTTCCAGTGGCCTCTACAGAGTCCTAGGGATGCCCAGACATCTTTTGGTATCACCTCAGGGAAAGGGTTGGTGTGGCAAGAGGGGTAGGGCTCCTGGCTACAATCACTTTTCATAAGATGTTCGAGAAGATTTTGATAGGGACGCCTGGGTGGCTCAGTGGTTGAGTGCCTGCCTTTAGCTCAGGGCATGATCCTAGAGTCCCGAGATCGAGTCCCACATCTCTCCTGTATGGAGCCATGGAGCCTGCTTCTCCCTCTGTCTGTGTCTCTGCCTCTCTCTGTGCCTCTCATGAATAAATAAATACAATCATTTTTTTTTAAAAAGGTAGATTTTGATAAAAGGATTCTGCTGTTCAGCAAACTTAAAAACTATAGCTCTAAGCAGATATCAGCACAGGTCTCTCAGCTCAGTTTCTAAACTTTTTACTTTTTTAAGATTTTTGTTCATGAAAGACACAGAGAGGCAGAGACATAGGTAGAGGAAGAAGCAGGCTCCCTATGGGGAGCCTGATGCAGGACTTGATCTCAGGACCCCAGGATCATGACCCATTTGAGCTCAGTTTCTAGAAGGCAGTTTCTGGAAGTTCTAATAACATAAGGACTGAACAAACTAACTTTGAGGGCTGAGGTCCAAGGGGAGCATGAGAGGAGGATTCCTAGAAGGGCCAATGAAATCACAGATGTGGACAGGCTTTGTAACTCTAGAGTGCCATGCATGTGGGTAGCATGGCTCTTCCATGCCCTCTGTCCAGGATGATAGGTGGAGGTCTGTGCTGCCCCAAGAAGAGGTGGGATCACAGGGGCCCACTGTGCCAGGCTGGCCAAGAAAAGACACCCAGCAGGTGTGTGTGGCTCAGTCAAGTGTCCTGGCCACATACCCGCCATCCCTTACTAAGCAGCTGCTGAGTGTCAGGGTCTGACTGGGTGTATCACTTTGGCCCTCACAAGGCGCTGAAATAGTCCTCTCTAGTCAGCTCCACTGCACAGCAAGGCAACTGAGGTGAGACAGGGCACTGTGCCACTAGTGGTAGGTGATAACTGTGGCTACTCACAGGCTCAGGTTGGGAGGACTCCAACAGACAGCAGTAGCATCTCTCCAAAAAGGCCCAGACTCCCTGGGATGCTGACAGAGAGGGAGTCACAGAACCAGAGGATGCCAAGCTGCCTCCTCGCCCACACCATTACACCAAGACTGGTCCCAAGGACATGGTGGCCATGAGGACAATTTTGAGGTTGGATGGTAGTTGGCAAGCAGCTCCCTCAGCACAGGATGCTCATTTCCTCATCTATCTCAGGGATCAGCCCCCCTTGTCTAACTAGACCTCCTGATACCTGTCCAGGCCTTCTCATCCTGCAAAACCTGCCCTCCACAGGCTGCTGAGAGCCACTTCACCCACATCCCAGTGTCCCTCCCTCTCCTTTCTCTTCATCCCATTTCAGTAGGGGTCTTTGAAACAATAGGAAAAGAGAGACACACTTGTCAGCAGGTCACTGCATAAAGCTATGAAAAGCAATCAAGGTCAGCATGAAAAGTTTATCTGTCTCACAGACCCTCCTGAAGGAGGGCTCTGTGATGCCCTCTAGACAGATGCCCCAGGAAATGGGGGAGGGAGAGCAGATAGACAGACAAGGACCGAGGGGATTGGTGGAGAAGACACAGAGCTGGACATTGTGTTGTATATGGGCCTATGCTCCAGATAGATGTGGGAAGAATGAGACTGTGATCCTGGAAAGGGATTGGTTCCTATATGTTCTCCCAGACACATGTGCAGATCCACTTGGTGATCCTGAACTGGAGCTCCTCAGAGCCATCTGCAGCACAGGGCCTGGCCATCCCATGGTGCAGGGAAATGCCTGAGGCCTCAATAAACAATGCAAGCAAGTCTTGTGGAGGTCTTCCTCCAACAAGAGTGAAACCAACTGGCCAGGAAGGACCTCTTCCCCTCCTGGAAGCCCTAGCATTGCCCCTGTTGCCACTGAGCTGCATATTCTGTCCCCCTGATTGACCCATCTGCCTAACCAACCTGCTTTCATTCTTCATTCCCTGGATAAAATGTCTCTTGGTGAAGCCTTCCTGAGGAGTCCCTCAGCACACACTCTTAATCAGAGTTCCTTAAAATGCATTGTTGGGACGCCTGGGTGGCTCAGCAGTTTAGAGCCTGACTTTGGCCCAAGGCGTGATCCAGTGGTCCCGGGATTGAGTCCCACGTCAGGCTCCCTGCATGGAGCCTGCTTCTCCCTCTGCCTATGTTTCTGCCTCTCTCTCTGTCCCTCATGAATAAATAAATAAAATCTTTTAAAAAAATGCATTGTCACTAAAATCTAACACAATTGTAACTGATTATGGGTTTAGAGCCTGTCTCTGGGGCTTGACTCTCCCTAAAGGCAGGGACTATGCCTATCTTGTCCATTGCTATGTCCCCTGGTCCTGGCACAAGGCCTGGTAAGCAGTAGAGCCTTGGTAGATTTTGGATGGATGCAAAGCTAATGGACAATGACTCATGGAAGGGGCTGCTCCAAATCTGTGTCCCTGCTGGGATCAGGGGTTGACATACCATAAGAGAGGTCCATCTTTCCCCCTGGAGACCCTGTCACAGAGAGGGAAATGCAGTTTTCCTCAGGTCTCACAGGCAGGGAGAGCCCCCAGAGCACTGACTGGGGGTCAGCCCCCTCAGTAGCCTGGCCATGACTCAGAGCAGCCTTGGGACCATGGCCTGTGGCTAGATTCAGAGGAAATGAGGGGGAGGTCTGTGTGGTTTCCAGGTCTCTTCCTGTAGGGCCTGGTGCACCTCAGGCTCTCTGCAGATTGAGTGACTAAAAGGAGGCAGCTACCTCCCTGTCAGGAGAACAAAGCCTAGGTGTTAATGCCTGTGGGAGGCTGGCATTAGAGAGAGGAAGATATTAGAGGCAGGGCTGAGGAGGGAGAGGAGACCCCAGCCATGGCAGGGGAGGTTCCAGACTAGGATTAGCTTCTGCCCAAACACAGACATTCAGATATTTGGCTCTACAGTCTCTTGGTTCTGTTTAAGTATGTGTCCATGTCCTTCCTCCCAAAAGTGCTGCTTGGTTTAGAGTGATTTGTTATCTGTGATGGTTAATTTTGTATGTCAACATGGCTAACCCACAGTACCCAGATACTGGGTCAAACACCAGTCTAGAGGTCTAGATGTTGCTGTGAAGATGTTTTTAAGATAGATAACAGGGATGCCTGGGTGGCTCAGAGGTTGAGCACCTGCCTTCAGTTCAGGGTGTGATCCTGGAGACCTGGGATCAAGTCCCACATTGGGCTCCCTGCATGGAGCCTGCTTCTCCCTCTGCCTATGTCTCTGCCTCTCTCTTTCTGTGTCTGTTATGAATAAATAAAATTTTAAATTAAAAAAAGATGAGATAACAAATTAAGTCAGTGGACTTTGAAAGAAGCAGAGTGAGGACCCTCCATTATGTGGGTAGGCCTCAACTAGTCAGTGGAAGATCTTAAAGGAAAAAGATTGAGGTCCCCTAAGGAAGAGAGAATTCTGGGCTGACTCTGGAATTCTGTATTAACTCTTCCTTGGGCCTCTGGCTTGCCAGCCCACCCGGCAGATTTCAGACTCGCCAGCCACCACAACTGTATGAAACAATTTCTTAAAATAAATTCTGTGTCTACACACACACATACACACACACACACACACACGTACACATACTCTATTGGTTCTGTTTCTCAGAAGAACCTTATGAATACATTATCAAAACCTCAAATCAGGATATGATTTGAGAAAGGATTTGTGGGTCACTTGGGGGAACAAGAAACAAACTGGGGCCATAGTTTTGATATCAAAATATTAGAATTTCTAGGATATTTTGATTGTCTAATTGTCCTAAAAACTGGCATTTTTAGATAGGACTATCTTGAAAATCACAGGTATAGGCTCGGCAAAGGCATTATATGTCCCAATTTTTTCCAACTGCCATGGTTCTAATTTTGCTTCTAGTAATTCACAAGGTAAGAGGAGACATGTTGGAACCACACTGTCCAGTAGAACTTTCCGTGATGAAGGAAATGTTCTATAACTGTGCTGTCCAATAGGTAACCACTAGCTACAGATGGCTACTGAGCACTTAAAATGTGGCTAGTGTGACTGAGGAGCTACATATTTAACTTAATTTCATTTCAATGAATTTTACTTTGAATTTAAATGGCCACAGATGGCTTAGAGACTATTATAACAGACAATGCAGCTCCGAAGAGCTATAGAACTAGGGTTGATCTTAGAGTTGCCAGCTCAATTTCCTAATAAACTGACTGAGGAGGAAGGAAGCTCTCCTGGTTAATACCTGTCACTCTCCCACATTTTCTAGCTTACCTGATTGTTTAACATTCTTTTTTTTTTCTTTTTTTTTTAAAGATTTTATTCATGAGAGACACAGAGAGAGAGATTGAGAGAGAGAGGCAGAGACACGGGTAGAGAGAGAAGCAGGCTCCATGCAGGGAGCCTGACATGGGACTCGATCCCGGGACTACAGGATCAGGCCCTGGGCTGAAGCAGCGCTAAACCGCTGAGCCACCTGGGCTGCCCTTGTTTAACATTCTGACTGCTGAAATGTTAACTCCTCCAGAGCAGGAACCCTGCCATATGGTTCACAGGGAAGGGCCTGGTATACAGCAGGAACTCATTGACACTTGAAGCCAAGCTGGAGTGCCTTGTCAGGAAGAGGCAGTGAGTGATGTCTGGGGCCCGGCAGCATTACTGGGTCTGGGAAGCCTACCTGCTTGCATGGGCACAGGGTCCAGTTCTTGGACAGAGGGCCTCGAGCTTGGGCTTGGCAGGGTTTTCCCTCGGCTGAGCTGACCTCCCATTTTTCCTCAGCAGAACACACAGAAGTGCATGGCCTAGAGAAATCTGAAAGAGATGCTGTGATGGACACAGAGACCCTGGTCCCCAGACACCTTCTCCCTCCCCAGCTCAGCCCTGCTGACCAGAATGAACAATCCCTCTCTCAGCAGGCTCCAGCTCCTCCACCAGACTCTGGAAGCTCTCTTCTCTGCAACTGGACTCTGTTTTCTCTAGTGGGCTCCCCTTTCCCATGCTGCAGCCATGCTCTTCTTGTTTCTGGGCCTTTAATCGTGTGGTATCCCTCCTACTGGCTGGACTGCCCTTTCCCGTGTGGGACTGTCAGGATGGAGGGGGTGGGAGGTCTGGAACCCCCCCTCCCTAGGAATATTTCTCTGAATCCCCCAGCCCTCAGGAATCATTCCTATAACCCACTCAGAACCATCTCCTGACCTGGGATCACATGGGCTGGGGACAATGACAGGACCCATGGCTAGGGTTAGAGGTAGGCAAGGGGGATTTTTTTTTCTTAAGATTTTATTTATTCATGAGAGACACAGAGAGAGAGAGAAAGAGAGAGAGAGAGAGAGAGAGAGAGAGAGAGAGAGAGGCAGAGGTATAGGCGTATAGGCAGAGGGAGAAGCAGGCTCCATGCAGGGAGAAGTGGGACTCAATCCCAGGACTCCAGGATCACGCCCTGGGCCGAAGGCAGGCGCTAAACCACTGAGCCACCCAGGCTGCCCGGCAAGGGGGATCTGAGGAGGCTTGGGAGCTGGTATCATAACAAGCTAAGGTGACACTGAGCACACTGTGACTGGTGTCACAGGGCAAATTAAGATGACTGGGAGACTGTACACCACAGTGATGACTTGCAAGGCTTTGGAGGGATTGGCTGTCGAGCCATTTCCCTGCTCTTTGCCTCCATTTCCCCATCTGAAATATGGGGATAACAATACCAACATATGGGTCTTAAAGATAGGACATGCGAGAAGCCTGGCCAGGGCCCACTTTTCCTTTCTTGTGTTCTGAATGTCGCTTCACCGGAGGCTGCTCCTGAGAGCCTTCCCCTTTTCTCTTTCTCATCTCCCTGTTCATTCTTTCCCAAGTTGTTTGTTTGTTTGTTTTAATTTTGTTTTTAACTAATCTCTACACCCAACATGGGGCTCGAACTCACAACCCTATGATCCAGTGTCCCATACTCTACTGATTACTGAGCCAGCCAGGCGCACCCCCTTCCCAAGTTTTAACTATTCATTTATTAGAGTGTTTATTTTTTTTAATATTTTATTTATTTATTCATGAGAGACACAGAGATAGAGAGGCAGAGACACAGGCAGAGGGAGAAGCAGGCTCCATGCAGGGAGCCCGATGCGGGTCTCGATCCCGGGACTCCAGGATCGTGCCCCGGGCCGAAGGAAGGTGCTAAACCACTGAGCCACCCAGGGATCCCCTGTTAGAGTGTTTAATTTGCCATTATTCCACAGCTCAATGAGGACAAAGACCTCTTTTTCTGTTTCTGTTTCCTCAACATTTCGTGAGGCACCTGGCCCATAAAAGGTGCTCAACACATATTAACTAAATGGACAAAATGATTATTAGCTCTTTGGACAAGTGTCTTATCCTTAGAATAATTTTAACTCCCAGGTTTCAGGGTAATGGTAATTTTTTAAACATTTTATTAAAGTGTTTCAGGGAAGTGGTTTTGTTCTTTCAGATAGTTTCATATACATACCAGCTTGGTTCCCTGGAGGATCTCATGGAATGACAGTGATATAGCAGGCTCTGGCCTTGCCTTTGAACCCTTCACCATGCTTGAGTAAGTATGGGTTTCTGTCATTATCATGGAGAGTTTGTGGGGATGGAACTCCTTAATACAAAATGGGCCCCTTTTTAGGAAATGGCTCCTGGCAGCCATTTCCTGCTCAGACTTTGGGATCCTGAAGCTTTGGCAGGCTGAGATGGTACTGCTGCTTCCTGAGGTATCTAATGCCCTCACTGCTAGGGCTCCCCTTCACATCAGATTTTCGAAATTCCTGCTACTCCTCAGCCTTTCCTTTCCTCTTGGGTATCAGATATAAGCTCTATGCTTAACTGTGTGGACATGAGTGCAGAAAATCTTAGGGAGAGATCTCTCCTGGGTAGCATGAGTGATTAATTCAGACCAACTAGGTTCCAGTTGTGTGACCTCCTTACACAAAGCACATAACCTTGGTCTTGTCTTTGAAACGGGGATAGTACCAACTCCACTGGGTAGTGGAGAGAAGTCAGGGAGCTGGTGTAAAGTGGGTGTTTAGTAAAGTTTAGTTTCCTTTCCCCTCCTTCAGCAACACAAAGTTACGACAATCACCAACTGCACTAAACCCAGAGACTTCTTCCTACAGCAGGTGGAGCCGGGAAGCACCCCTTCCTTCCCTGACCTCGCCAGCTCCCTTCATCTGGCCAAGCAGCTTCCTGGGGGTGAAATGAAGACCTCAGGGTACGCAGGCTTAGGAGGAAGTGTGGCCAAAACTTCAAAGATAATCTAATTATTAATTACATGTGTATTTGAACAATTTACTGTGTGCTAGGCACTTTCTAGGGGGCCCAGGCCAGTGGGTGGAAGGAAAGAGTAAAAGCTGCTGAGACTAGCACACTGCCTACCGTTTTTTGATCTTTTTCACTTGATCATTTGACAGATCAGCAGCTTTGAAACCCATTCACATACAATGATCAGAGCTCAGAGAGGGTAACCTCGTGCTCACTCTCACACAGATGGTTAGTGCAGAGTTGGGTCTACAATCCATGTCTTTTGTTTTTGTGCTTCTGAAGATATTTCTCAGTGGTGGATGTAAGAGTGATGAATTTGGATTGAGCTATAGGGAGATCTGTCTCTCTACTGAGAAACATCACCCTTGTGAGAGGAACTGTCGATACTATAGTAGAAAATGCTTTCAGAGATGACATTGGAAGGCTGTAACCCAGAGGGGGCTCCAAAGTCATACAGCACATTGGTGATTGAGATGATGAAGATGGGACCAGAACGGGCATGAAAACAAGCTGGAGGATACAATGTAATTCTCGGTGGGCAGGGTGAGGGGGCCCAGCAGTCAAAGGAGTAATGGGGAAGCCTGGGTTCCTTTGGGGACCCTAAAAACTACCCCCTTACATCCTTAACAGAACTTCTTTTCCTGGAATGTATCCCTCCACCCACTGTAAAGCCCACTCCCAGCCTCTGAGGGGACCATCTGTCTTCAGTCCCAGGGCCATCAGAAAACAAAAGCAAGCGTACGTACTTACTGGTTTCCTGTCATCAAAGCTTGGGGCAGGGGCTCAGCTTAGATGCATGCTTTGGCTGGAGAGGTTAGGGCTTTGGAGGGCCCTTCTGGACATCTGTCGAAGTCCTTAGTCCTAGGATACCCAGAATCCTCTCAGCTTGGAAGGCTCTTCAGGGAGATGCTCTTGGTATCGCTTTGGGTAGCTCTGCCATCTGTTGTGGTCAGCAGTTTGTAGACCTGCAATGGGACAGGAGACTGGTGCTCCTTAGGGACCCCGGCATTGGACAGCCCTCCCAAGCACAGCCGGCCAGGGAAGAATGCCTGGGGTTCTTTGAGCTCTGTCATAGGGTCCTTGGGGCTCCCGGCTCACATCTGCAGGTTCTGTGGTTCTCACAACCACCCATTTCCTCTGACGGCATCACAGACCATCAAGGAGCCACCTTCCCCAAGTTCCTGTTTCTAAAAGAGAAGCAGCTGCCTTGTCATTATCCTAGAGAGAGTTTTTTCTCTGGCTTTGTGGCTTGGTCTTGCCTGAGGAACACAGAACTGAGGTAAATGAGGGGTTTCCTAAGCTTACCTATTATAATCACCTGAGGTTCTTTTGGTATCAGATTCCTGGGCTGCTCCTCCATTTTCTGAATCTAAGTCACCAGAGGAAAGCCGAGGAATCTGAACTTTATATACTCCAAGAGATGCACTTAACTGGTTTCGGGGGAAGCACAGCCTTGGATTGATGTGTCCCAATCTTTAATGTGTATAGGTATCCCTTAGGGATCTTGTTAAATAGCAGGTTCTAGTTTGGTGGGTCTGGGGTGGGGATTGAGGACTGAATTGCTAATAACACCCAGGCAATACCCATATTGCTGGTCCATGCACTTTGAGTAACAAGACCTGGATAGTGGTTCTCCAAGTGTGGTCTCAGGCCAGTAGCCTCTGCATCATCTGGGAGTTTGTTAGGCAAATTCTTGGGCCCCATCTCAGATCTACTAGATCAGAAACTACATAGGTGTGGCCAGCAATTGCTTTCCACAAGCCTCCAGGTGTTCTGATGCACAGCCCAAACTGGAGAATCACTCAGGTAGGATAAAGAAATTTCTGACAGAGTTGCCTTAAAAAAATTATTTATCCGTGAAGGACAGAGAGGTGGAGACACGGGCAGAGAGAGAAGCAGGCCCCCTGCAGGTAGCCTGATGCAGGAGTTATATCCCAGGACCCCAGGATCACTCCCTGAGCAGATGCTCAACCACTGAGCCACCCAGGTGTCCCTAGAATTGTCTTTGACTGATGTTTTAAGTCATTAAAACTTAAATAAAACCCCTATCTCATTAAAATAGAAATAACCACACCTACTTCTGCCTTTCCATTGGGGGCTTAGTATTCCTGAAGACATGATTTTTGTTGTTGTTGTTGTTGTTGTTGTTTAAGATTTCAATTATTAGGGCAGCCCGGGTGGCTCAGCGGTTTAGCGCCCTCTTTGGCCCAGAGCGTGATCTGGAGACCCACGATCAAGTCCCACGTCGGGCTCCCTGCATGGAGCCTGGTTCTCCCTCTGCCTGTATCTCTGCCTCTCTCTCTCTGTGTCTCTCATGAATAAATACAATCTTTTTAAAAAACTGATTTATTAGAGAGAGAGCGAGAGAGCGCGCAATCTCACGAGGGGGAGGGGCCATGAGAGAGGGAGAAGACTCCCTCTGCCCGCTGAGCAGGGAACCTACAGGGCTCCATCCCAAACCCACAGGTTCATGACCTGAGCTGAAGACAGACACTTGACTGGGTCACCCAGGCACTCTGAGACATGCCTTTTAACACAAAATGACCCTGAAACAGCTCCTGACTCCAGTTCAGGCTATGAAGCTTTTACTGGGGCCCTGCCAGCTAGGGCACACTTCAGCTCAGGTTCTCCCTTTGTCTCAGGGAAGGTTGGTTTGAGACTTAACTCCATGGGCACTAGGTGTGAAAAGCTGGGAGGAGCCAGAGTGGAAGCACATCCTGTGTAAGAAAGTTTGTTTTTTTTTTTTTTTTAAATTTTTTATTTATTTATTCAGAGAGAGAGAGGCAGAGACACAGGCAGAGGGAGAAGCAGGCTCCATGCAGGAAGCCTGACATGGGACTGGATCATGGGTCTCCAGGGTCACACCCCAGGCTGCAGGCAGCGCTAATCCGCTGCGCCACCGGGGCTGCCCAAGAAAGTTCTAATCAGGATATTAGAATGGGTGATGCCACTCAAGGATGTATCCCCACAGCAGGGAGGGGAATGAGCACAGGTCCACCTTCCTGCTCCTGTCTGCAAACCACTTTGTCTACTTTCTTATCTGATAGGAAAGACTTTCAGACTGGCCTCAAGGTGAGGTCAAAAGAGATACCTGAGAATTAGTTTACCCAGATCTGCTGCTTATTAGTTTTGTGACCATTTGTAGTTACCTTTAGGCCAGTTTCTCATCCACAAAATGGGACTAGCATGTACCTCACTGGACCATTATTAGGAAACATAAATGAAGATGCAAATGGCTCCCAGGCTATGGTAGATGCTCAATAAAAGGCTGAATATGAAAATGCATTGAGGGCACCTGGGTGGCTCAGTGGTTGAGCATCTACCTTTGGCTCAGGTCATGATCCTGGGGTCCTGGGATGGAGTCCCACATTGGGCTCCCCATAGGGAACCTGCCTCTCCCTCTGCCTATGTCTCTGTGTCTCTCATGAATAAATACATTTTTTTAAAGATTTTATTTATTTATTCATGAGAGACACAGAGACAGAGAGAGAGAGAGGCAGAGACAAAGACACAGGCAGAGGGAGAAGCAGGCTCCATGCAGGGAGCCTGACGTGGGACTCTATCCCAAGTTTCCAGGATCACACCCTGGGCTGAAGGCAGCACCAAACCGCTGAGCCACCCAGGCTGCCTGAATAAATACATCTTTTTTTTTTTTTTAAGATTTTATTTGTTTGTTTATTTGAGACAGAGACTGAGAGGGAGAGGCAGAGACACAGGCAGAGGAAGAAGCAGGCTCCATGTAGGAAGCCTGATGTGAGACTTGATCCTGGCACTCCAGGATCACTCCCTAAGCCAAAGGCAGATGCTCAACTGCTGAACCACCCAGGCGTCCCCGAATAAATACATCTTTAAAAAAAAAGAAAAAAGAAAAGAAAAAGAAAATGCATTGACTGGAAGAACTGGGAAATTTTTCAGGATAGGTGACCTTGACCCAAACACTTAACTCTCAACTATTCCTTGTCTGTAAAACAGACCTGACCACTTTGCGGGGGTGCCATGAGAACTGGGTAAGATGATTTAAAAGGAAAAGCTTTACACAATGGTCTTGTAGAGTCTACCTGGCCACTTCCTTGACTCTCATAAGGCAGACACCCAAGTGTGTTTAGACTGAACAGGGAGAAAGGAAATGAAAATTAAGAGATAAAGTATGGTATGGACCAGTCTGGTGTAGTCAGGAGGGGATGGACTCTAGGCACAAGGCTACGGTGGGAAAATAGGTGACCAGCCATGTCAGATATAGCCATGGTGGCTGGATTGATGTGGGTTTTAAGAGCAACTGTGACCATCAATCACCTTCCAGCTCAAGAACTATTATGAGGGATCCCTGGGTGGCGCAGCGGTTTAGCGCCTGCCTTTGGCCCAGGGCGCGATCCTGGAGACCCGGGATCGAATCCCACGTCGGGTTCCTGGTGCATGGAGCCTGCTTCTCCCTCTGCCTGTGTCTCTGCCTCTCTCTCTGTGTGTGTGACTATCACAAAAAAAAAAAAAAAAAAAGAACTATTATGATGTATTGTCTGGAACTCAACTTGGTGACCTATACCTGTCCTGTGCATTTGCTTCATCTCCTTTCTCAGAATGAGCAGGGTCCATGTCATTTTACAAGTAGCTCCCAGAGACACAGCAACCTTGAGGTACAAATAGTAGCAGTAGCCCCTGGAGCATTCAAAATTGACCCAAGGTGGTGGTCTCCTGATATCATTGGTGGGTACAAAGACAGCCATTTCTGGAGAAACAGAGTCTGGTCTGTTTGAGGAACCCAGGCAACTGGTTGCAGATTACTACATTACGGTGGGACCCAGCAACCCTACACAGATGGCAGAGCTGAAATGTGGAACATCCTTCCAAGACCTTAGCTTTCCTCCTTTGTCAGAAACTGCATGATCTGTTTTCTCATGATTTTTGGCTTGAGGGGAATAGAGATGTATCTAATGGATTTGGAGTTCAATCTTAGATGGGTTTATTGGTATGACCTTGGGCAAATTATTTATCTGGAGTCTTAATTTCTTCTTGGGTGAGATAATGACCAAGTATGTGAAAATGTCCAGTACGAGGCCCATATACAGTAACTTGGTTCCACCCCGAGCCCCAGTTCATGGCTTGAGAGAAATAACACCAGCAATCAGGTAACAATGAGACATATACAGCTTTATTTAATAATCTGTAAAAAGTTGTACTCTGGCAGAGTGACGCATTCCCTATCTCAGCAGAAAGCGAATACTATGTCTGAAAAGCCCCTCCCTAAGATTCGGAACTGTGGAACCCTGAGCTTACATCTGATGCCCTTAAGAGATGGGCCCTTGCTATGTGGTGGCTGGTTTCATCCTCCTCCCAGCAATACTCTGGCTGGCTGCAGCCCCTCACACAGCAGTCCACCAAACACCAATTATACCTGCACATGCTGCCTTTATAGACTGGCCCCTTCACTCTTTTCTTTAAGAACTGTCAGGAATCTTTCTGAGAAATGGGTTCTGTACCAATTTCACTTACAAAGCAACTGAAGTCAAGGCTATGCCTGTGATGCATGACATTCTGTTAAGGTCTGTACCTCTTCCTCCAGCTGGTTCCTATGTACATAATTTTCAGGCCATACCTCTCCTTTTTCAGAGGATTGAGGGGTGGAGAAACATTCTTCATCACAGACCCAGGAGGCACTTCTAGTGGCTATCTGGTAAGATAAGATGCTGCAGTGACAGCAGTTCTGCTCTGGCAGAACAGAGGTCTGACATTTTGTTTTCCACTTTCCTGTGCTGTGATGAAGCCACATTCACTTCTTAGGAAAAACTTCATGTTGCATCAGAATCTCATCATTTATGGGCTTCTAAAAGAATATATCCCTCCCTTTTATTTACAGAATAACATATGTGAATGCATTTGGACAGAAGGAGGTGGCTGGTCACCCTACCTGCCTCTCTATGTAACAGGCTCCCTTCTATTGGTCACAATCAACAGTAAGCATGATCTTCCACATTCCTCAGAGCTGCTGAAGTTACTTTGCAAATCTTGTTGACCAATTTGGAACCAAAAGAGAATGCAGTAGCCTACCCAACC